TTTGTTTTGAAGCGCCAGTCCCTTTTACTCCCAGGTGAGTAGAAGAATCAAAGTTGGACGTTGGGCATAGAATAAGCGCATAATACAGATCAACTAACAGACTGTTAGGACGAACCCTTACTCTTCAGCAACCACAGTGGCACAACCACACTTTTCGCCTTGTTCTTACCCAGCTGAACCGCCAAAATCGCCTCTCCAGCGTACTCCAATCCTTGTGTCACATCCTCCTTCAACTCACCTCGCGCGACGAGATCGGGCATCGTATTTGGGATCCAAATCCGTCACGAGCTACCCAAACAGTTTGATGCGCCTTGACACGACTTTGCCAAAGTGCGACATGTTCGCAAGCTCTTCACTTCTTCGATGGTATGTATCGGCGGCTGGAGCTGGAGGAAGATCAGTTGAAGTGTTGCCCACCGGAGTGTGGATGTGGGGATCGTGTCGCTTATAATGAGTACGATCACTGGGCAGGCCGTCCGGACGACTTCGTGGCAAAGTCGTCGTATCTGCGCATGTCGAAAGTTCCCGCTCCTACCAGGCTGCTGCGCTTCCTACGTCGTTGACCGCTCGGCGCTACAGTAGTACGGAGGGTCCGGCGGATGCATGCAACATTGTCCGTGCTGTATTCAAGGTTCCTTCTTGTAGTTCAATTATAGCACGCGTTAAACGTCTATAAGCGAAAGTCTTTTTCCATTAACATTCGGACCGATGGAACCATCCCACCGATTTTCCCTTCCATGAGAGAAGCGCACCTATAACGAGGACCAGTAATATACCCTGTTGAAGGCGGTTCCGTTCAGGCTTGACCTTTGTTAAGTCCTATCACACCGATGACACTCTCCATCACAGGCATCTTGAATCCTCGTTAGAAGCTCGATCAAGATAGATAATTCAAGAGGTCCGGCGACTGCCTGTCTGTTCAATGCGTGAAAGGAAGCTCACCTAGAATAGGCAGGAAAGATATGAAAGGCTTTGCAATGGAAGAGAAGGCCTCAAGTTGTGTTCAAAGAAGCTTTGAGGCAGACGCATCAGTTTCACGCTGTCAAGGATAATTTATCATAATACCGGCATTCAGGTTATAATATAGGCAAACGTGGATAGTGTTGTTAAAAATATCCAGCAATGTGGGTCCCGAAGAGGGTGCCGGGACGGAAGAGTGATTGAAATTGGGCGGCGGCAAGGATCCGTGTCGGTATGTACTGTTGTGGGTGCTTTGTTCCTCCGGTGCGGAAACAACGTGCCCAGACCAACGTGTGAGTGTACGTGGCCTTCTCTCGTGGCTTCATATATGGCTCATAGCCTATCATTATCCCTGGAAGTGCCAAGTAAACGACATCATCTCGGAGAGCTCGAGGCGGAGCTATTAAGAGTAGGAACGTGACCGGTTACGCGTGTGACAAGGCCCTTTGTGTACTTCTTCATTTCCTACCATAATGCTCGCGCTTGTTCACCCCGCGCCCGACGTTCACCGTCCGCCACCGTCATCACGCCCTCATCGACGGCACACGCCGTCGCGGTCCACCACGTCCTCCTCTTCATCGTCGTCGTCGTCGGCAGCAGGCCCGTCGTCGTCGTCCGCACCCCGTTTACCCCATCCGCCTCCTATATCTCGCCGTGCACCGTCGCCGCCGCGGCCACCACCACCAGAGCCACCGTTGGTCGATATACATAGCTACCCGTCAACGGAGCTGCTCAGGCTGCTCGCTTCATTGCTCACACAGATTGCAGCTACCAATGATGCCCTCAAAGACTCGTCTCAGGCGCCACCGTCTCATCCCCATTATCCCAGTGGTCTCACTACCGCATCTCTCAACTCTCTCGCCAATCCCTCCAGTACACTCACCTTCCATGCGCGTAATGTCCCCACCATTACGCTCGAAGCTTACCTCCTCCGCATCCTGAAATACTGTCCGACGACCAATGAGGTCTTTCTATCGCTGCTCGTATACTTTGACAGGATGAGCAAGCTCACGGGCGAGCCTTTGTCATAGACTCGTACAATATACATCGCCTGGTCATAGCAGGTGTCACCGTGGCCAGCAAGTTTTTCAGCGACGTTTTCTATACAAACTCACGGTATGCAAAGGTGAGCCACTCGACCCATCATCCTTCGTTCCCCACTCACCATTTGTCTTCAGGTTGGCGGCCTTCCCCAAGCAGAACTCAATCAGCTCGAACTCCAGTTCCTTCTTCTCAACGACTTCCGCCTCGTCATACACCCTGACGAGATGCAGCGTTACGCCAAACAGCTTCTCCTCTTCTCCACCAACGATTCAGAGTCTGAAATCGAGACGGAGACAGAAGAGGGTTGGACCACAGATGACGAGCCTACGATTCGACCGCCACGATCGGAGGACTCGTGCAGCATAGCCTCCGAAGACTCGTTCACCGTTCGGCCACCAGGCGAGCCCGATCGAACACCATGACATTGTATATGACATTTTTATTCCTTCACATTGTGCAACTGCTGTAGACTCATCGCTTCTCATAATCATTGTGGATTTTGTACATATATCTCACTCAAAATGCCACCCACAAAAAGGCTGGACTTGTTAATACAAGGATATCTACCACTGGACTCGACGTTTGGCCTGCCACGTTTATTGGACAACCTCGGGAATTAATTCGCACCGGTGCTCTTGAAGATGGAGCGACCCACTCCACCTCAGTCTTGATTTATGACTCGGACGTTTCTGGGAACAAGTCGGATAAATTCAAATCAATCGCCGTCCGGTTATCTCATGGCCATCGCGTTCAAACTCCAGTCGGCGCTCACGAAATTGGGACTCGTGTCTGGTCAAGTGGCCCTGCGATTCGGCGAAGTGACGGAGGAGGAGTACCGGCCTCGGTGTCATTGAATGAGGAGCACACGGTTGGTTGATGAAAGACAAATTTGAGAGCATTGTTCCCCATGGAACACAATGCTGAAGCCTTCTGAATTGAGTAACACATGGATACACATGTGGGGCACGCGATGTCGCGGCATATCTCGAATTCACATTCAAACTTCATGTGAAGCTTGAACAGGTAATGTCTTGCCAGAAAGAGGATCATGCCTTTCCTACTCTGCCTATTATCGTTCGCATATGCTGAAATTATGAACCTCCCACCTCTTCTGCAAGAATATATGCACTTGACTGTCCTGTGTGAATAAAGCGGGCAATGAACCTGAAGAGTGGAGATATCTTCGTGTTCTGCTTGCTGTGTGATCATGAAAGGAAGATGAGTTGAACGGTATTACTCCATGTCGATCTCGCAAATCAAAGAACGTTCTGATAAACGCGCGAGCAAACGTTGAAGAGAAGAGATCCGGTCTCCAAACCGGCAACTAAAGCTTAAAATTACTTGAACCTGTACCACCATCATGCCCGCCGCGAAGCCACCGGCTCCCAAAAGACGAAACCGCAAGCGCAAAAGACGCGCAGCCTCTTCTTCATCTTCTTCAGCCGACTCATCAGATTCCGACTCTGATTCACAAGTCGAGCAGCCCAAACCTCTACCACCACCCAAAATCGCCCCGTCCGATCATGAATCTTCCTCCGAATCCTCCTCAGAGTCGGACGAGTCTGATTCTGACTCTGACTCCGATGTATTTATCCCTGCTGCCGCATCTATAAAAACAACAGCAAAAACCCAACCCCAACGCTCGCCCTCTCCGCCGCCTGCGCAGATTCCGTCCTTCATACCAGAAAAGACAGCGCCTAATGCCTCCGCGGCGGAGCTCGAGGTCAAGTTCTGCAAGTTCTGGATGACCGCTGTGGCCGATGGCTTCAGTGAAGATCTGGATGAGCTGAGAAAGGTGCTTTCACCGTTTTTTTGGAGAAGGGAATTGACGTTGATTGATTGTAGGAATCGAATTTGAGCAAATCGAGATTGGAGATGTTGGTTCATTCGTTGGCTTCGGGAACAGAAGTCTTCTCCAAGGATGAGATGGAGGTGGTTTTGGGCTAGTGTTACTCTTGGTAGTGACTTTAAAATCAGTACTACGTCGTGAAGCATGAGCTGTAGGGTAGTGGAAACAACCTAGGTTAGAGTACCAAGAGGTTGTTTCCCGGTAAATTACCGGTTATTTACCGGTTTGTAACCTAAGTCTGTTGGAAGTAGGTTATTTACCTGCACGTGACATATCCACGTGATGTGTGGCGCACGGAAAAAGGTACAGTCATCACCCGGTCCTTTATACACTACCGTTCCTTTATACACCCTTGTAGCACATGGTTCATTGAACTTATCTGCAATGTTTTTACATGGAAAAATAGTTTATGATTCTATTATGCTCTGACAAAAAGCCTGGGGCCGTCAGACACCTTTATGGAGTTGAAATAATTGTCAGAAGTGGGCCATAAATATTCATTATATAACCATCACTCCTTTGGACACCACGAATCGCCCAATTCTTCAGTCCACACTTCGCCTAAAATCACGAAAATATTTGTGAGCATTCTCATAGTACTTAGAAACATTTTCTACACTACATGTGTAGTAGAAGAACCACTCTATATGTGGCGGAAGCCGAAATTAAATTTCGGCGTCCAAAGGACCGGGTGATGACTGTAGTATGCACTATATTCAGAGGCAAGCAAAGTTACTATTGCCATTAAAATCTATCTGACTCTGATGGGACCAAGGAAAGTGTGACATCTGGAGGGGAAAGACTGAAAACAGTTGACGGCTGCTGCCTGGCACTGCCCCGCGGGGTCGTCACGTGAAAATATCACGTGCAGGTAAATAACCGTTTTTAACCGGTAAATAACCTGGACCTCTGGGAGGGTAGGTAAATAACGGTTATTTACCACCCCCCGAGGTTATTTCCACGACCCTAATGAGCTGTGTCTTGAGAACTACACTTTTCGGGTTTGACAGCACAGTGCACTACATAGAACAGCTTTGAATCTTGATGCTATCTGGTTGTCACTGTTATAAATTATGGAATCAATATTCAAGATTCAAGATTCAAGAAAATTTTTAAGCGAGACTGAAAAAAACACTTACAGCAATGATTCCGATACGGGGAATCGAACCCCGAGCTGCCGCGTACTTGACGTCAGACGCCATGAAAGGCGGCAATGTTAGCCGTTACACCATATCGGATGAGTAGTCTGTGAAAGAAATGCAATAGATTGAGTGCTCGGCAGCAGTGCGGAAGCCAGGTCCGGCCGATCGAAGTGATCCGGCTTATGCAATCACATGGTGTGCATTTAGGTTCGACCAGGACGACGACTAGCGGCTGTACTGACATATACCCCAGAACGCCCTCTCGAGGCGGATTTTCAGGATTTCTCGCCTCTTTTGATAACCCGGTTGGCAGCTGCCTAACGACGACCCGATCACGCGGAAGCATCGAGTAACGAAACACCCACACCAATCCTTATCGCTCTCCAAGAGATAAGCAGACGCGATGTCTCACGGCTCCTATTCCTCTGCCAGCATCATGACCGAAGACGAAGAAGATTGGGAAGAGGTACCTTGTCGTTGAGTTTCGTGTTATTTTACTAAAACTCTACCAGTACGTCAAGGGCGGCTACCATCCAGTTCATATTGGCGATACTTTTTCCGACTCCCGCTACGTTGTCGTCCGCAAGCTCGGATGGGGTCACTTTTCCACTGTCTGGCTGGCCAGAGACGTTCGGCAAGACATGTCGCTAATTTCTCTAACTCATCCTCACCTTTTTCCAGGGAAAACCGCCATGTTGCACTCAAAGTCGTGAAATCTGCTCCCCGCTACACCGAGACGGCTCTTGACGAAATAAAGCTCCTCCAGCGTCTCATCACCTCGTCCACGCCTGCCACACCACCCAATCATCCTGGTCGAGCGCACGTAATGGCATTTCTAGATCATTTCCGGCATAAAGGCCCAAACGGGACACACGTCTGCATGGTTTTCGAGGTGCTCGGTGAAAACCTACTGGGGCTGATCAAGCGGCATCAGAACAAGGGTGTTCCTATGCATCTTGTCAAGCAGATAGCCAAACAGGTTCTACTTGGTCTCGATTACATGCACCGGTGTTGTGGTGTTATACATACTGGTACGTTTATAGGCTCTCATCGCAGCTTTAATAACGCCCATATTCAGACTTGAAACCCGAAAACGTTCTCATCGTGGTCGAAGACGTCGAATCCATAATAGAAGCCGAGCTTAAATCGGCCTCGTCGTCGTCGACGCCACCGCCGACCAGACTAGTCGGCGTCCCAGCATCCAAAGGCCGCGGTGGGAATCAGACCCCCAGATCAGAGAGCATCTACATAACGGGTTCACAGCCGCTTCCCAGCCCCACCGCCAGTCCGATGTTGGATCGATGGGCGTTTGGCATGAGTAAGATCGGAGATGAGCTGGCGGATGAAGTCGGCAGCGTTTCCCTGGGCGAGGGCGAGGGCGAAGGTTTCGGCGAACGCGTGCCTATACCTCATCCTTCCTCCGCGCCCTCTCTCCTCACCCAGCAAGCACCACCCGTCCCACAACGACCGAATACCCCAAAGGACATGTCCGACCCGGTCTACACGGGTACCGAAAAAATTACCGTCAAGATTGCTGACATGGGTAACGCGACGTGGGTCGAGCACCATTTTACCGATGACATTCAGACACGGCAATATCGGTGTCCTGAAGTCATCCTCGGCTCTAAATGGGGCATTTCTGCGGACGTCTGGAGTGTCGCTTGTGTTGTTTTCGAGCTCATCACCGGCGGCGACTATCTCTTTGATCCTGCCTCCGGTTCACGTTATTCTAAAGACGACGACCATATCGCCCAGATCATTGAGCTTCTCGGGCCTATACCCAGTTCTCTTTCTCTCAGTGGCAAATACAGCGCAGAATTCTTCAATCGCAAGGGCGAACTGAGGCATATCAACAAGCTGCGCTACTGGCCGTTGGACGCCGTGTTGCATGACAAGTATCTCTTTCCCAAACTGGAGGCCGAATCATTAGCGTCGTTTTTGAGTGGGATGTTGAGGCTAGAGCCGGCGAAGCGCGTGGGAGCGGGTGAAGCGGCTACGCACAAGTGGCTAGACGGAGTTGTCGTCGCGGGCGAGAAGGACGCCAAGGCTGCTGAGGGGTCGGGTGCTATGAAGCCTGTGGAGGACATGGAGGAGGAGGTGACACCTACGATCGCTCCTCCCAAGAAGAAGAGCTAGTGGGTGCTTAGGTGTGTTGGGATACCTTGTTAGTTGAATGTTGTAACAGTGTTTCACTAGATTACTGTATTGAATACCATTTTCTACCATCAGATTCGGTGCGGTTATAGATACCAGACCTAATATTATAAGATACCTGAGTTTTTGTCTTGTGCGAACATGAGTTGATTGGTTTGTTAGTGATTTTTTCATGTTGAGAATTGCAGGCAGCAAGTCATAGCGTAGATGCATGTACCTTTAACAAAATATCATGGGGGCATAGCTCAGCTGGGAGAGCAACAGACTGAAGCCTGCAAGGTTTCTGGAGGTCCCCGGTTCGATCCCGGGTGCCCCCATTTTCTTGGGATTAAGTGTTTTGGTCCCGACTCCCGCCACTAGGGTGGCGCAGTAAACCTCCGGGGGGTGTTAGTAACGGTATTGATACCGACCCCCCGGGAGGCCTGGTTTTGAAACCGTTAGTAACGGTTTCGATACCGGCACGTGTTTTGAACACGTGATGTGGCGCAGCGGCTCGCCGCCCTCATCCCGCCCTTGTCCCGCCACTCTCAGCTTCTCTTAGCGCCAGCGCGCCGTCACGTGAAGTGATCACGTGCCGGTATCCAAACCAACCTCCCGACCCCCCGACAGTTTCAATACCGTATTGATACCGTTAGTAACCGCAGTAAACCCAAGGTGTATCAAAACCAAGGGTTTACTTCACCACCCTACCCGCCACTGTGGTAGGGTGGCTGGCCGCTGGCGCAAACTCTTTAACTCTATCTAGTATCTACTGATACCTCGGCCGGGGTTTTGCACCAAGGTCCTGGGTCCAAGCATTTCAGATTTCTAGTAGTAGCAGCAAGCAGTAAGGAAACCTCTCGGGGGTTGGGACCAAGTTTGTAATTTTGCATTTATGATTGGTTCAGTTGCTTTAACAACACTTTAAAGTTCAGTTACCGATACTGCTATCTACATCGTCGTCATCCCACCCATCCCTATCGCTATCGCCACCCTCCGAGTTAGTAGACTGCTTGAGTATCTGCTGGTATCAACACGAACTTGACAGCCTCATCTGCAGCTGCATCTACACTCAAGTCCCATTGTTGACGAGGAACCTTTGGTCTGCCAGCATCCACCCATCTCATGACCAGCCACCATACACTTCCTCTGTCGTGTTCTCTGCACAGCCTCAAAGAAGAGTCTATCAGTAGTAAGATAGAGTCACCGCAAACATGCCTTTCAAACTTTTCCAGCAGATGTAGAAACAGACGATCGATGGGAATACCGTCCTCGACCATAGCCGCAAAGGCCCCTCTACCCGGGGTTGTCCTCTCCAACGAAATGAACTTGAAGGCGGCAACTTGGGAGCCTCGCCACCATCCAAGATGCTTAGCAACGAGTTGAGTGCCAACTGCCTGAACATTTCGTGAATGGAGCCCAAAGACAAGATCTCGAACATCCAAGTCTGAAAGTGATTCGCGGTTTGCAAGATATTGTCTAGAGCGTGCAACATCCCGCCCCTCCCGCAGATGGGTCATAGGAAGGAGGGCATAATCCGGCGCGAGGAGGTCAAGTTGGCATCGCAGATCAGAGACAGTCATGACAGTTGAGGTCTTCCCTGTCGGCGCCTTGTCGTAGAACACATTCAGCATCAGAGCAGTATTCAGATCAGGATAAAGCGATATGCTGTCAATTACGCTCTGAGTCTGTGTGAGCGCAATTGGAATGGCAGATCGCCACGGCAGAAAGCCACATCCAGAATGCTCCGCCAAGTCGTTGATATTGGAGTCGACTGGATACTTCTGGGAGCAGGGCCTCGGGATTGAAAACCCTTGCTCCTGGGCAGCTGCCGGCAGTAGACACCACGAAAAGGCGGATCTGCGAACGTAGTCAGACACTGATGGAGTTAGCACCTCGGCGTATTCATGAGGCCCGCTTGTGCTCAAAAGGTGCCACCGAGGGCTTTCAAGTGCCCAAGCATGACATGAGTTGCAGAGGACGAGAACTTCCCCTCGACAGCCTTTCACCGCCATCTCCAACTGCTCCTTGGTCACGAACGCCTCCATGTCGCGGCCTCCTGTTGTGGAGATGCAAAGACAGAACCGATTGTTGCGCGTCAGGGCGCCGTGCCCAATGAGGATGAGAATGAACTTCTCGCCTTTCTTCACAGTCGACGCAGCGGCTGCCACGACAAAAGTGCATTCTGCAGCGAAATAGTATGCAGAGGCTTCGTCTTTATGGTGTTGTCTGTAAAGACACGCCGGGACAGGCCAGCGCAACGGGTCAGACGCCGCTTCGCTGAAGACGAACTTTCCATCCGGAAAGTGGGGAAGGAGATCCTGGATCCCAAAGTGCCGGAACCTGGTTGGGTCGAACTGCGATTGGGAGGAGAGGAGGGTGAGGAGGAGGAGAAGGTCAACCACCATGCAGCCAGCATCACTGCCATTCGGCTGTTTCACGTCGCCGACGACGGTTAGCAAAGAGCATACGACGATCCTCGGCTCGGGACTGTTAAAGAGTTTCTGAGCTCGTAAAGATACATGGAGAATCTACAACGCACTGGAAAACAGATTTGAGGCTTCGCCACACGGAACGTGCCATTTTTCTAGGCGGCAATTAGAACAATTGATTATACATACCGGCCAGAACGCACTTGAAACTTGACATTTTCTGGTTGTGAATGTAGGCAGCCATAGGCTGTGGGTTGTGGTGGTACAAGAGAGAGAGAGGAAAGGAGGTTCAGCACTTGAAGCCTGATCGGCGAGGGCGATCCAGGCACGATCGCCCTCTTTCCTTGCCTCCTCCTCCATCCCTCTCGAGTCTCATGGCTCCCCGAACTTGCGCCCTCTGCCATACGGCGCGTGCCATGCTAAAACGCCCCAAAACTGGCAAATCTGCAAAGACCGCTTTTTGCTCTTCGGAGCATGTCGCGGTGGTTGTCCGTAAACGGATGCTGGTTTCCATGAGAGGACCAGTGTTCA